TGTAACAATTTTGAATAATCAATTTCTTTCCTTTAACTAAATTTTCTAAACATAACCATAAAATAAGTGTAACATGTTGGTGTCACGTGATCGTTCAGTCACACTTTAGAATAGCCTCAATGTGCACAGGTGTGTGTCATGTTATTCAGCTGTACTCTACTTCTCAGTGTAAGATCTCTTAAAAAAATTTCAAAGAATCACAACGGTGTTTATATAAATAAAAGCTGAAAACAGTAATTCTCATTTTTCAACGTGAAAAGACTTTTCCTGAAATTCATTCCACGAGACAGCTTTTAAGTTTAGAGCACGACTTTCCTGGTTCTCCAAGACGATATTTCAACTTACAGATATTTTCATCGTTGTCATTCTTATTATCGTTCATTAAGTGGCAAATTCGCGTGTTACGTAAATTCGAGGATAGTTCACGGATCTTTATCCAATTAGCAGACGTCGTTTTATCATATCGTTATGGTTCACAGAGAAGAAGTCACAGACCAAAATTACTGACGAAATCCTTTTCTACGTCTCTCTACTTTTTTTCGGCCGAAAAATTTTCCACCGAGATTAGTGAACGGTTTCTCCCGAAACAAAGAAAGAACAATGCTTTTGAATGTGTTCTGTGTCCCATAGCTATTTGCACGACATTTTTTCGATAAATATTTCTTCGTAGGAAAGTGCTATCGGTGTTCAAAATATGTGCTCTTATCTAATATTTACTTTTGCATAATGCCCGCGCAAAAGACAATGTTTCGTGTACAAGTGGTTATGTAACGTTATATCTCACTGCTCGGAGAATGAATATTTTTAACTTTGTTAAATAAGGAAAACTATTTGCACGGTCATTTTTAAATCGTATCATTGGAATTAACAGGTAGTGAAAACACGTGTAGATCCTTTAACAAGATAACAAACCTATGCTATTTTGTAATTAGTAAAATGTATGTTCCGTGATTTACATTGTGGTTGATTAAACGTATAATTTTCGATATGTTAATATATTTATATTAATGTTAAATAACAGAAATTTCGATTATTGAGAATTTGTATCCCGTTTCGAAAAACAAGCCAGATCGGCGTTCATCTTGAAAATAATTTAAACATTTTCGTACGATTTTCTTTTAAATTTAATTTACGTTTATAAATAAATTCGAATAGTTTAACGTAAATAATTGTTATAAAAGTACATCTATTATTCTTATAAGAAACTTAAACGCATTTAATAAAATTTCAGTTTCAACAAAATTTTTCATTTACACGAAAACGATTGAATCTTTAATAAATTTCTTCCTTTTCATTTGATCGTTTTTTCATTTGCCTGTAAAGTTGCGAATTTACATAAACTTCCACGATCTATTTATAAACGATTCTGTTAAATATCATGGAGGAGTAAAGGTGTTGTGCACAGTGGGAGATAATCGGCTCGTAACCCGGGCACGAATAGGATGTGGAGGAGCCGAAGTAGAATTGTGTCGGCAGAAGCAATTGGCACTAGTTTCGATTACGTAGAAACTCTATGAATTCCCGTCGAACGGAACTGACGCCAATAATTTATGCGGTTCGTCGTGCGATCTTTCCAGTGAGTACTTACACGGCCACCCAATAGAAAAAAAAGGTTCCATCAAAAACATCTATATTACTTTGTCTTACAAGTTAATTATATCCTATATAATTTAACCCTCTATGGGCCGAATTTTTGTTCATGATTATAACAAAATCTATGCAGCGCAAAATTAATAAATATCCACACCATCAAACGAATATATTCTGTAACTTTCAAGTTACAATG